AAATTATCAAGTTAAAGAGAAATGCCAAATATGCCCAAAATTGCAAAGAAAAAAAATTAAAACTACTTATCAAAAATCAAGAGGTCATCCGTTATACAAACCTAGAAAGCCGCTACTACTCTTTAAGTATCCAGATTTACACGATCGTATACATGATTGTATAGAATTTGGATCAGCTAATGCAAAATGACGAAAAGAAGCTGTTAAAATCCGAATTGTAGAAAATTTGCGTAAAAATCTCGAGGAAAGGTATGAAATTTATATGGTGAAGACCATATTAAACAATTACCTATTACCTCGCCAAGCAAACTCAATTGTCGCAAAAGCCACCACTATCCAGCATGGGTTGCAGTCACTAGGGTTTCACGTACTGAAATGTGTGAATATCCTGATAGCCACTACTGTCTTGCGTCAGTAAAATGTGCGAAGCAATTTGCTAGCACTTTTGCTAACATGTCAGTTGTGTCTCCCAAGATGACAAGGCAAAGATAGGTCTTGGAGTACCTGCAGTAGGTTATACATTCCACACATTACAATCTATTAATGAACCTGTGAGTATTGCAGACCACGATTTTCCTGTAGGATTTGGACAAAAATTAATTCTGTCAGTATATTTAATGATCAAGCCAGATGAATCCAATGATGAATTGCGGACAGGACAGTTGGCAATTTTCGTATGTCCCCAATAGTCACTTGGCACATCATCACTTACACATATGGAGGATCTGGAAAATCTAACTTCAAATTCTCAATATGATGAAATGCTAAAAACAAATGGAAAAATTCAACCTATTTGGATTTTATTAGTAGATAGAGGGCCAGACGAAAATCCTAGGCATCTAAAAAACATTAAGACCTATTGCCAACTCTTCAAAAAATTTGATTTGGATTTTTTGAGTGTACGAACACATGCCCCAGGGCAATCGAAGTATAATTCGGTCGAAAAGGGCATGGCGACATTATCTGGTAAGCTTGCTGGTACCACTTTGCCAATTAACTATTTTGGTACGCATTTGAATACACAAGGCAAGGTTACGAATTCTGAATTGGCTGCTCAAAATTTTCGCTATGCGGGGGAGGTTCTTTGTGAAATTTGGCGCCGTGATTTAATTTTTGAAAGAAAAGTTGATGCTCACTATATTGACAAAGTTACGAATCTCTTTGAGCATTTGCGATTTAAAGGAACAGAAAATAAAGAGGCTGAAGAATTAAAAAGAAAAAAAAAGAAAATCAAAAATCAAACAACACAGATGAAGAAACGACACATTCCTTCTCCGAATGTTTGGTACCATGGTCTTGGATTGAAGCTCACTGTAATATGTACATCTATTCTCTTGATATCAAACGATGTACAAATATTAGTTGCTATGGACCGCCCAAAGCCAAGAAGGCTATGGACTTCCTCCACTTACATAATGGTTTTCTACCGCCTATCACAAAAGCCAAAGACGGTCGGTTTACAAATCCTATTCACCTTCTTCAGTATTGTGATCTCATGAAAATCCCAGGATATGATGCTCATTGTACAACTATCAACAAAAACACATATTTACGACTTTGCTATTCTGTTTGCCAAAAATACTTTCCTACTCTCGTATTTTTAACAAACTACAAATGATTAATGCACCCTGCTACCCGAGGACGACCGAAAAAACAAATTGAACAAAATTCACTAACTTTTGATGATTTTTCTCTTCTCCTGTCTCAACAAAAATTATATGAATCGGAAGTTGTCGAAGTAAGGATTTATAATTCAGATGGAGAATGAGTAAGTTTTATAAAAATGATTTCAATATAAAATTTCGTTCACTATAAATAAAAGATTTCATTCATTAGAAATATAGTCATCTCGTATACCAATCTGGCTAATCTGAAGATTCTTTTCATAATGTATACCGAAGAATTTAATGGGTTCCATTTGATAGACTGAGCGAAGCTAAGAAAATTAATAAAAGGAGGTTTTGGCTTAGCTTTTTTGGAATTGGGCCTAAATTAAAAACCCCCGAATTACTATTGAATTATTGTGATAAAATGATTCCCAAATCGAATAAAACTAATATAGTTATCACGTCAAACCCATCTCCCCACTTTAAAACCTATCTCCTTCTATAATAGTAAAATTTATTGTAAATCTGCTTATAGTATATACTATTAACGATAATATTAAGATATTCTTTTATTTTTAGTAACTTTAATGGTATCATCCATTGTAACAAAGTAATAAAATATCGATTAAATTTATTGTATATATTTCTTAAATATATATAGTGATAAAAATATAATAGTTAATTACAGTCAAATCATTTAACTCATATTAATATGTCTGTCAAATATGCGTCATAAATTTTAAGGTAGTGTAAAAATGCACCATAATGGTATTTTCAGAAATCTGGCTAGATGACATACGAATTACTGAATTAGAAATAAAGACTATATAAAGTCACATAAAAAAATTATAAAATCTTTGATTACCCGGTTGTTATCTTTTATAAACTCACCTATACATATAAGGAAACATGAGCAGTAAAAAGAATTCACAATTAAATTCGAAATGACATGAGAGATTGTATATCAGTATTCTATTCATTTAAGAAATGTATTTAATTTCATGACCTTTTTAATGTTACATACCTGAAATTTGATTTTTGAAAGCATAATCGTGACATTTTTTATATTAAACTTTGCTGCGTTTGCATTATTATAAGCCAAAAATAACCTATAAAATTAGTGACAGAAATAGAAATTTTGTAAATTAAAGCACATATTTAGCTAGTCATTCTAATTGTTTCTATAACACGTGTTGCTTTGGTCATCAAACAGATATATAATATTTTCTTCAGGATGAAGGTTCTGTCACTCAAATCTGTAGCCAATCACAATAAGTCTATGTCGTGTAACCTAAGATCTCTGGTGACCCTCTCCAATGTCTATATCGTGTAACCTAAGATTTTTGGTGACCCCCTCTCAATTATATTTGTTGATAATACATATATAGCCAATCACAACAAGCCTATATTGTATAACCTAAGATCTTCACTTCTAAAATATTAGATAATATCTGTTATTGCCCTTATCTCAAGATATAGTAATTGAAATCTAACGATTTTTATACCATTCGAATCGTCTCATTGAGACGAATCGAATGATATAAAAATCGTTTAATTTGGAGCAAAGGATCACGAGATATTACTAATCCACCATAATACTCTTTCTCTTTATAATACCTATATTTATCTTATATTTATCTCATATTATATTATAATTATGTTTAGATAATTCTTAATTTTGATTGGCTATTATTATATATCGTGTAACCTAAGATCTTGGCTGACCCCCCACTCCCTACATATTACCTAATATCTGTCATTGCTCTAACTATATAAATTTTTTAAAACCAATTCAAAGAATTTTATATAGCTAGTAAAATATTTTTCAAAGATAACTTGGCATATACTAGACTGATTAGAATAATATAACTACTATTAGATTTATTTTAATAAGCTTTATAACTTTATTTAAAGACTTAATTGGTGATTTGCCAGTCAGCCAGTGAGAGGTTATAGTGTAACGTGATGCAGGTTACTTATAAAAATTAGGGTTTTGCGAATATGGGCTGCATCATTCTAAAACTTTTTTTTGTATTAAGTTAACCACCTTTGGGCTTCTAATTGAAGTTGTAGAACTTGTTAAGAGGAATCTAATAGTAGTTGAATTATCAAAATTGGCCTTGTAAATCACGAGATATCTTCGAAAATGTTTCGCCAACTATGTAAAATTCTCTTGATGATACTATTGTCGAAAAAAAGAATTTTACATAGTTAGCAAACTATTTTTGAAGATATCTCATAATCTACAAAGCCGATTTTGACTATTCAACTATTATTAAATTCCTCTCAATAAGCTCTACAACTTCAATTAGAAGCCCAAAGGTAATTAACTTAGTATGAAAAAAAGTTTTAAAGTGATACAGCCCAAATTTGCAAAACCCTAATTTCTATAAATAAACTGCGTCATATTACACTATGACCTTTCACTGGCTAACTGGCGAATCACCAATTAAAAGTAATTAATTTAATATAAAAAAAGTTTTCTTTAGACAATTTTTTTTTTTTAAACTTGGCTAGAAAAGCCAGTAAAGCCTTTATTTAGATATACTCGCAAGTATATACATAATTTTTTAAACTATATTATAACCTAATACTAGGCTATGCTAATCCAATCAGCTATCTGACATTTATCTGGCTACCCTTATAGATGCCTAAACATATTCTAGTTGTATCACTAGCATACTATAACTGAGACCAACACTTGTATCAAAGTATCTCTTAACTTTGGAGAAGCATTATCATTAAACTACTAAGCCGGTGGAAGAGAATTATACTTATATTGATACTACTTTTGCATTCTGAAACTACTATATCTGCGGGTCGGTTAAAGCGGAGCGAGGTATAGAGTTACCTTTTTGATGCATTTATGGTTAGCGGGTTATATAGATATCAAGAATACAATATATGCAGTATATAGATCATATATTGAATTCGCTCCGCTTTAACCGACCCCTATATCTAGCTATGCCTATGTTTCTCGCTTCTATCACCTTGCTTCTATATAACTCCCAAATTGGTAATATTCAAGTTATAGATCTTTATGATCTTCCAGTTTGGTGTATTATATTATTGTTTTTTCTAAAGTATTCTGATATTGGTCTAGGATCTGCAGAAACTCATATCTTAAACCAGAAACTACTGTCTAGTTAGGTTTATCATATGACAGTATTAGTATTTTATTATTAGATAATCCTTACCATTTATCTGCCTAGGTATTACTAACCCATATCTCAAGCCAATTTCTGCTACTATAGCTTAATCACAGATGTTTCAGGTCTTAACATTATATAGTTACTTGGTATTTTCTTCAGTTCTTCTAAGTACTACTATACATACCACCAAAATAAGTTTTCAAAAAACCCTATTTCGTCTCTATTAGAGCAATTTAAAATTTTTTATATGCAAGAGCAATCTAATTTAGGTAGTTATATTCTTTATAATTTCATTTCTTCAAAAAAGTGTCAAAAAATTTCGTCTTTTAAGTAAAGAGTTAATATAGATGTACACGTAGGGTACATCTATAATTTTTGTACCCATTATTTTGATGCATATCAGAGTTATTAAGTTGCATCTGTACAATGAT